ATGTGAATCCTATGTACAAAAGCCTGATATGCTAAGCATGCAGTTTGTCCGTCGGTCATTCAACCAATCAAAGTGTAATATGCTAATGATATGCTAAGGCCGCTCAACCACTTGCTATGACATGCACTGATCACCAGGGGGTAGATAGTCAACCAGTCGACCAGTCGCAATGATGTGCACTGACCACCAGGGGGCAGATGCTCCAACCGGTAGGTTAGCTTGCTGCTGGAGTCCGGCCGATCGGGACTGAGCAAGACAGGCTGGACATGCCCTGGAGCCCTCCCTTGGTCCCTCCCTGGCTGGCCAACCTCCCACGTTCCTACCCGATTGTGCGGTGAGGTCCCTTGGCCTGGCCTGTATCCTCTCACAATCCGAGCTAGGAGACCACCTTCCCCCTCCCCGAGTGCCCAAATTTAGTGCACCAGGCCTCTAGTGATATAATAATATGACAGTCACTGTCATGGAGAGATACCTGGAAGATTTAGAGGACCTGGAAGGTTTAGAGGAGGTGTGATAAATTGTGCCAGGAAAAACTGGTAATAGCCTCACTGAGGTGATGACAGCTTAGTGGGGACTCTGAGTATGAGTAGAAAATAACACCCCAAAACTCCATTATGCCAAGACAGTAACCAATGGAAAGCAAAACACATCAAATATAGGACAGATAATAAGAAGATCATATGAGCCAGCTGGGAAGCCAAGTTGGTGACTATGATTTGTACCCTGTTAGTGATTTCTTGCCAAGGTCGTCTTCCATTGTGGAATGTCATGGTCAAAGCAGCAACTATTTCTTAGCCACATTGTCCCTTTGTATAGGGTTGGTGTTCCAGTGGAATACAGAAGCCGGCTCATACAAGCTCAGGAGAACTGACTTGTGAGGAATTCTGCAAGCTATTTTTTTTGTATTGATTTTTGTTTTTCAACGAGAGAGAGGAAGGGAGAGAGAAACATCAATGTGAAAGTGAAACATCTATCAGGTACCTCCTTCACAACCCCCTACTAGGGATCGAGCCCAAAACCCAGGCACATGCCCTGACCAGGAATGGAGCCAGAAACCTTTTGGTGCATGGGACAATGCTCAACCAACTGAACCACACTGCTCAGGGCTATAAGCTAGTTTTTAAACACAAATATTATTAAAAAATTAAATTATATAAAATTAAACTTGAAGAAATTATATTTTAAACGGTAATAAATAATCAAAACTTATCACTTCCTAGTTATTTTACTGTATTTTTGCTCTGGAGTTTATTTGGGTCTGGTAGTATTGTATCTCTGTGGTGGAAATACTATATGACAGTATATTACTGTGCATCTCTTCCCAGCTCTGGGTTCAGTGACATCTCATGGGTAGTTGAAATCAGCCATCATGGAAGTATTTACACCACAGATATAGGCAAATGCTACAAATTAAAACTATTTTTCTTTCAAAAGTCAATTGTTCAATGTTTGGCAGTACACCACTGGTGGTATCCATTAAATAAATGGACGAAGAAAAAAAAAGCATTTGGAAGCCCAACACCCACGTCTTTTTAAACCTCCCTGAACAAAAACATGTGGCAGGAGACACATTTCAGAGGCCTCCATAGAGCAGACTTCCCCATCTCCTTTGTTCCAGGGAAGGCTTTATGTTACCCTGGATTTTCTTGACAACTGAAAATCATGGTCAAACAGAAGGAGGATGGAAGTGTTTTTCTCCAGGACTTCATTCCCGAGCCAAATGTCTGTTTTGGCAAGAGGTCTCTGTGGCCTACAGGGGCACGGGGAGTCAACTTAATCTTGTCCAGAATCCAAAGCAATCCACAGGAGCCTGGGCTAAAATGACATCTGCTCTGGCTTGCTGAAGTGGAGGTCACAGGATAGCCAAATGGTGCTGATTTCATATTTCCCAATTATCAGGGGATCCCCAAAGAAAGATAAATCAGAGGAGGCTGGCCCACATGTGTCCGAGGGGCAGCAATTAGGGCAGCCCCCAAAGGAAACCATTTCCAGAGGGCTGGTTATTGTCCAGGCAGAACCTGAAGACACACATGTCAGGAGAAGGCTCCATAGGGGCCAGCACCAGGGGATGTGGTCTATTAGTAATCCTCTATCTAGAAGGACCAAGTTCCAGCAGTAAGAAATTCAATTTTCCCCCATTAAAGAAAGCATCTCTCAGCACCAGCTGAATACAATTAATGGAATAAATCTCCCATTAGCGGAGAGATAATTTTGCCTAAATATATCAGGAGACCTTCAGAGCAGGACTGAGAGTCTTTGCTGAGCCTTGCCCGCTTAACTTGTTTGCCATGTAATTGCATTTAGACCAAGGGCCTCGGAAGGAAACCACTGACTGAATTAGCATTAACCAGATTGTGTGTCAGGAGGTGAGGTGGGGTGGGGTGGGTGGAGGCAGGGAGTGTGATGCATTGTGGGTAGTTGTTCTTACTGTTCTTGCCTTCAGAAAGGACAAGCTGACACCAGTGAGACCAGCTGCTTACAAGCCTGGTGTTAATTGCTTTTCTCATCCAACAGAGAAAAGTTTATCACTCTAGAAGGTAGAGATGTAAGCACCTAATAAAACAGAGGCTGCGTTTGAGAGTTTTTTTATGAATACCCCCAGACCTCATCCGTGGCTCTTCCCTAGGCCAGAAAAAAAGCCTTCTGGATCGAGGCGAATGGAGAAAGTTGTGTGTACAATAAACACTTGCCTCTGATTTGCCAATGAGGGCTGCCCCCTCGCCCCCCAGTGCCCTGATCCCTTATTACATTGACCCTAGTGCTCACCTTCATTTCTACCCATTGCCCATAGTAAACAGACTGCTCTCGAGTTGGGCCCAGAGTTGTGAGGCCTGGATTCAAAGCCTAGCTCTGCCACCTCCTCTCTGTGTGGCTTGGGGCAAATAACATAACCTCATGGACCCCAGTTTCCTCCCATTCCTCTCATTCAGTGATTTTCCAACTGGCTTTTCTCTGGCTTCTGCAGGGACTAAGACTCCACAGAGTTGCCTTCAGAATCACCCCGAGAGAAAAGGGGGCCCCCACCTAGCAGATCTTGCTTGTATTTGTTTTTCACTTTGGGGTCCTTTTAAAATGTCATCTGCCAAAAAGGCTTTGTTTCTGAAACATTAGGAAAAACACCATTATTCTTGATCATCTCTAATTGTCCCACCAACTTACTCAAACCACCTTTTTTGAAAAACAACAACAATGACCTTGTACTTGTGAGGCATTTCCAGACCTTGCAGAGAGAGAGAAATAGACCTTGATCCTGCCCTCAAAGAGCTCATGACCTAGTGGAGAAGAGAAACATGTACGGTGGGGTACGGTCTCAAGGTGTTGAGTCAGGTTTTAGAAGAGAGTGACTAGTTCTAATTAGGGTCATCAAGAAAGGCTTCGGGGAAGAGGCATCATCAGAAGCTGGGTCTTAAAGGAGAAGAAACAGTGACAGAGGGTGCAGGGATTACATTTGAGGCAGATGGAGGAACATTGCACAAACACAGGCTTTAACCAAATTTGCCTGGCGAGTTTGGGGGAAGCAGATGGTTAGTTGTCTGGAATATAGAGGGAAAGTGGGGCGGGGGATATTGGGAGAGGTCACAGGTTTCAGAACCCACTCCAGGGGGACGATGCCAGCATCTGCCCTTCTCCTGTTTGCAATGCCAGATGCAAAGTGCCCTCTATTCTGTTTACTTTCTCGTACGTCCACTTCCAGTGAGACTATTAGAGGCAATAATAACCACTGCCATTGGTGGAGCTTACTCTGCACCAGGATGAAAAAACAGATTCAAAGAGCTGTCACATATTGTGCAGGTTTAGAGAGTTGGAGAGTGGCAAGAGCTGGGGTTTAACCCAAGTCATAGGACTACAGATTCACATGCATAACTACACTGTAGAGCCCTCTCAGATCAGCTTTAGCTCCATACAGTATAAGGTAGTATCCTTAGAAAAGGACCTCTGAGTGAGATATCTGAAAACATCTCCCAATAGTAATTCTTCTTTAAAATGAATGTACTTATTTATTGAGTTTAGAGACAGAGAGAGAGAAACATCAATTTGTGTTTCCACTTTTCCATGCACCCATAGCTTGCCTCCTACATATGCCCTGACGAGGGATCAAACCCACAACCTTGGTGCATCAGGATGATGCTCCAACTAACCAAGCCGCCTGGCCAGGGTCCAATAATAATTCTTTAGGAGACACTTTGATGCCTTACAATGAGGCAGTATTAAAAAAAGAAAAGAATGTTATTATTCATTTGGAGTAAACACCATGAGCCGCAGAGTACCAGAGCAGTCTGAGCAACCTGCCTTCTGTCTTCTGACCTCCTGGGGCTCCCTGTCAACCAGGGTTCTGTGCATGAGAAGTAGACCATGTTATTTACTCTTCTCTACCCACAGGCACGCATGTGTCATTCGTGGTCAAGTGATGACATCAGATGGGACCCCGCTGGTTGGTGTGAACATCAGTTTCGTCAATAACCCTCTCTTTGGATACACGATCAGCAGGCAAGATGGCAGGTAAGGGGCCTTTTGTTGACCAGGGCTAGTGAAGGCCCTGCTCTCGTGGTCTTGCCACAGAACTGCTGTTGGAATGGCAACATGGAAAGATGATGGAATTTGGGTTCAGAGGACCTGAATTCAGATGCCCAGTTCCGCAACTCACTACCTGTGTGACCTTGTATCTCCCTCTGGCCTAAGTCCCTTTGGCTAAAAATTAAGCAGTTTCTTCTCATTTGGTTCTCACAGTAAACCTAGGGTACCTTAAATATAGTCTCCTGCCTCATGACTTAGAATATAAAACACTGCCTACATTGTCTACAGGCCAGACAGGCCAGACAGCTCCAGAACTCTTACCATTCCTGCTGTGTTTTCCATATGCAACCACCTAGGTCTGTGGAAACCACTGAGTGAGGACAGAACTCTGACTTTGGGTCCCTGGGCATTTGCTAGCTATGTGTTCTTAGACCAGTGATGGCGAACCTATGACACGCGTGTCAGAGGTGACACACAAACTCATTTTTTTGGTTGATTTTTTCTTTGTTAAATGGCATTTAAATATATAAAATGAATATCAAAAATATAAATCTTTATTTTACTATGGTTGCAAATATCAAAAAATTTCTATATGTGACACGGCACCAGAGTTAAGTTGGGGTTTTTCAAAATGCTGACACGCTGAGCTCAAAAGGTTTGCCATCACTGTCTTAGACAAATCTCCTCACCATTCTGGGCCTCAACTTCTTTGTCTGTTAAATGGCCGTACCACTATTTAGCTCATAAATTGGTTTTAAGGATTAGATTCTATGATGGATGGGGAAGCACCTTGAACACAGCAGGTGTCTGATCAATCTCAGCTCCCTGCCCCACTCGGGTTCATTGCTGTATTTCCAGGGTCTGGCATGTGGTAAGTAAGCAATAAGTATTAGCTGTTTATTAAATTTACAAGTTATTAAATGATGAGAAGGTAATGGTTACAGTACAAACAATGAGAACGTTTTAGAGAAAAGGGGAGGGGAAGGAGGAAAGTGGAATATTTAGGCTGTCGGTGGTGACAAGTCCTCTATTTTTAATAAAATCAGGTGGTGGCAGTCCATCTGGCTAAGTGTGGGCCCATAAGGTTGATTTTCACTCTGGGTTGGAAATGATGCTGCAGCCTGATTGATTTTAGCACCTCTTTAATCCAATATCAGATGTGAACATGTCCCGGCCGAGGTGATAATGAAGCAGAGGCTCATCTGTTTGTAGACATGTGTGCCTCTTAACGGGTTGGCAAGCTTGACACGGGGAGCCCTCCCCCTTCCTCTCACTCCCTGGGAATGGGAAGGGGCCCAGCTGGAAGAGGTTGGTGGCCAGTCCCCACAGGTAACCTGGCCAGGCCAGGCCATGGCTCCCTGCCCTGCACACGTTCCATCCCAGCAAGGGCCTCAGCACAGACTTCCCCTACAGCATGGAGGAATCTCCCTCTTCATGCTCTGTCTGCACTACCTTCCAGCTCAGGGCTGCCTACTTTATGGAAACAGCAGATGCCAGCATCGTAGGCAACAGTTATTCTGACTACTGACTACATTATTACCTGCTATGAAGCAGTCATCAAAAACAAGCCATAGGGACTGAAATTTGACCATCATTCATATGAGATGGCAAATGGTCAGTCCTTTGCCCTGTGCTTGGTAAGTGTGGGTCCATAAAACATACGTTTGGTGGCCCTTGGAAAAAGCTCACTCTAGTGCCTCCAGGCTGTGATCCCTCCTGTTTGTGCTCCCCCTGCAATCTCTACTGCCCCTTGAGAGCAGGGGTTCCTAAGAGGTAAGCATCAGCCATTTTTCCCGCATCGGTCTGCTAAATTACATCACAGTAGCCCGAGTTGCAACAACTCATAGCTTGGGTTTCAGGGCAGTTTTTACCAGTGCATTATGGGGCTTAAATTTTCTTCCCAACTTAGACCCTCATAATGTATGGGAAAGTCACTGCCTATTCTCTAAGTGTCTGAAGATCTCTGTTTGTTGTATGTGAATGGGTAGCATTTGCCCATGTTCCTCCCCCTCTTCCCTGCCTCCCTTTCTTTCTTACCTCTCAGACCCCAGGAGGAACTCTAAGGCTAGAGATGTAGTTGGAGATGACAGTGTACATATGCAAATCCAGGGACCAAGCCTAACTCATCTTTGTAACCTTCATACTCCAGACAAGCCCTCATCCAGCCCACACATGCACAAACGCACACACATACATACGCTCTCATATACACACCCCACACTGAAATGCGAGACCTTCAGTCTTAACAAGAATTCATAAACAGAAAACAGTACCAGAGAAGTTAGCCAAAAAGATCATTAAAAAGATGAAAAATACAAGTCATGAAGAAAAATTTCAAAAGAGTAGCAGACAAGAGAAGCAGTTCAAGCTCGTTGGATTGAAAAATGGGATTTATACAGAGCATGAGGCCCAGGGAATGGGACCTGCGCTTTTCCCATCCATTATCCCATCTATCTAATTAAAAACTCTGCCAAGTGATTATGATCATTAATTTCATTTTACATGAAGAGATTGAGGCTCAGACAGGTGACATAACTCACCTATGGAGTGAGCAGCAGAGCTTGGACTGGCCCTAGGCTGCTTGGGCTTCACCTGAAAACCGGGCCTCGCCTTTGGTGTCAGGTTCAAATCCATGTCCCCTAGAAGGTTTCCCTCTGGAGGCCTGGCTCTTGGCAAGAGCTAATTCCACCAAGCTCTTGGCAAGGCCAGCTGCCCCCAGCTTGCTCACAGCCACGAGAATGTCTTTTCATGTTTGTCTTCACTCCCTTCTCCATGATCATCCTCTCATGAAGGGAGCTTGTAAGTCAGGCCAAAATTCTGTTTGATGGTTAAAAACTGTTCTGTCAAAGTACAGATGCTGTTCAGTCTGGGTGCTCCCCCAACCATTGACATTCTGCTGTAGAGCCAAACCCGGAGCCTTAGTTCAAAACAAGCCACTTCTCTGGTCTTTCTCTCTCGTGACTTATCAAAGCAGGGTGGTGTCCAACTGTCTTTACCCAAGTGTGGGCCTAGGATGGCTGAGTGGGAAACAGGCAAAGTGGGTGAGAAGCTTTTTGGGGGGACCCGAATCCAGGGGGTGTCACCTACCAAGATTTGGCACCAGGACAGAACATTCCATGGAAAATCTTTCCCTCCTTGAGGAGGGAAGAGGAAGCTGGAACCATGAAGCCAATCCCACAAGGTACATTTACCAGGGATACAGGAGAGGTCCTGCATTGGGGTCTCTAACACCCACTGCACAGGTCAATATTGGGTTGAGTTACAATAACAGCCAAAGTAAGGAGGAACTTTGTTTGGTAGACAGTTAGTTCAGAAGACATTGACAATATCACTCTTGCATTCATTCTCTAAACTGCAATCACCAAGCACTGGACTAGGTTCCAGAAATACTGAGATGAATTAGTGTCTCTGGGTCAGAGAGTTCAAGTTGTGATACCAGGGCAGCATGATATAGCCTGTAAGGAGGAGTGCACGTGGTGCAATGGGCGCCCAGGGCAGGGAGCAAGAATGCTGAGTGGGTAAAGAGTTAGCAGGAGTTCTCCTTCTAAAAAAAAAAAAGCAAGACAAGGGCAAGCCTTGAAAATGCATCCTAAAAGTAATAGCACAAAGGACTCTACCCAAAAAGACACCCCAGCCTGGAAGTGGCAGGTAGACAGAATCACTGTTTCCAACTCCTCCAGGATGGTCAAAGGCAGAAGGGACAGACTAGTTTCAAGTCACCTCAGCAGGTAGAATAAGGACCAGAAGCTAAGGAGTTATAAAGAGAGGGACCCAGACTCAATTAAAAAAAAAATCTTGACAATCAGAATTAGCGAGAGGTCAGATAGTCCTCCTGTGACTATAGCAAGCTCCTTATCACTGGAACTGCGCAAGTAGGAACCTAGTGCCTCCCCAATGGTGAGTTTGTAGAAGAAACTGATGTGTCATCAGGTTGGGAGAGAGCAATGACTGAAGGCTCTCAGGGGACGCTGTCATGGAGATCTCATCCCAACTGGGAGGCTGGGACTCAGTCTTCTCGTTCCCCATTCACTTCTGATGTACTGTGATTCTAACAGTGCGGCTCGAGATTGCTTAGCTCTTTTGTGATCCCAAAGGCCTGTGCTGAGTAATGTATCATAATCAGAACTAAAGCTGATGTAGAGTCATAGAATCTTAGTGACCTAAGAAGAGCCCATTTGAACCTTTACATTCTATAAATGAGAGAATTGAGGATCAGAGAGGCTAAGTGACCTACCCAAGATCACACAGTAGTTCTTGGCAGAGGCAGAACTAGGCTTAGGGTTCCTAATGCCAGGGCAGGGTTTGTTCCACTTTATTCTGCTGACTTTTCACTGAGTATCAGCTCAAGAGTCGTAAGTACCAGGAGCACCATAGCAGAGGCTCACCCACTGCCCTGTGTCTTGGCAAGTCACTCTCCGTCGCAGTAGTGTTTAATTCGACTTTGGCAAATTCTCTATTTTTTAAAAACTACTTTGTGGAATATCTGTTTCTGTTTGTGTCTGCAGTGACACCTTTTAGGTTTTAAAGTCTCCTCAACAAGTGCTCAGACCCTTTGGTATAATTTTTTCTCCTTTCTCCATCTTTTTCCTCCTGCTGCTCATCTTACTTCTCTTCCTCATCATCTCCTGTTTCCTGCTTTTCCTGCTCCCCCCTCTTCTCTTTTTCTCAACCCTCCCGCCTCCCAAACAGCTTTGACTTGGTCACAAATGGCGGCATCTCCATCATCCTGCGGTTCGAGCGGGCACCTTTCATCACCCAGGAGCATACCCTCTGGCTGCCTTGGGACCGCTTCTTTGTCATGGAGACCATCATCATGCGCCATGAAGAGAATGAGATTCCCAGCTGCGACCTGAGCAACTTCGCCCGCCCCAACCCTATTGTGTCTCCATCCCCACTGACATCCTTTGCCAGCTCCTGTGCAGAGAAAGGCCCCATCGTTCCGGAAATTCAGGTACCCAGCTTTCCTAACTGCATTTCTCCATGCCTTTATTTTATTTGGGGAGTGGAGGAGGAACGAGAAAGAGAGACGCCATCAGCCCACCATGCAGAATCCAACTGCCTGGCACCCTCCATCCTAGAAAAAGTCCCTACTCTTCCACTCTGCCATCCAGTTCACTTCCACTTTCCTTCCCCCCAAGCTCCAGCATCCCCCCTTCTCATTATTTCTATTAAAAATATCTATGGTGATAGGTTCTACCAAGCGAAGTGAGACAGA